GGAGGGCGAGAGCCAGAGAACCGGCCATCTCGTCCTCTGCCAGGTCTCCAACCTCGAGAAAGCAGGCGCGGGGTCCCTGACCGCAGCCCGGCACCTTCTCCGTGAACCTAGGGACTGCCAAGGGTGCCAGGCCATAAAAAGACACCCTGGAGAGGCTCTGGACCCTGCCCGCGTGGGGGTATGAAGCAGGTGACTTTATTCTCTGCTTTCCTAATGGGCGACGTTCTGAGACTAGTTTTCTGCCCGGAGATTATAATCGTTGGTGGTAATGAACACAGTGGTTTAGGGTAGAGGTGAGCGTGGCTGCGGGTGGTCAGCGGTAGGAATTGGACGTCTGGTCAAAGGAAGACTGGCTTAAAACTAAATCCAGGGCTTCGCAGTCGGATTTCCCCGAGGTGGACTGAGCGCGTAGGCAGCGCAGAAGGAACGAACTGCACGGCCAGCTGAAACCCAAGACCTTAAAAAGTACCTCCCCTCTCCCTATGGAAACCCCCAGGGTACCGTTTTTAGGGCAAAGACGCCTCACAGCGTAAAGGTCTAATGGATTGCGCAATATGTTGTTTGCGTTTTCCTCTCAGCTCCGCCCTGGAAGAGAGTGTTTCAGAGGTTTCTGAGGGCTTGCTTCGGTGTAAAAGAGAGCCCTCCCCTTCCCATTAGTCACTGGCCTCGGCCTGCCCCACCATCTCTCCCTCGCAGACCGGAGGACTCTTGGTCTCTGCTGAGGACTCTGTGCCTAGCCCTGGTGCTACGGATCGCCAAAGGGCCAGTAGCCCAGGATTGACCAGGAAAGATGCGGAACCAGAATGGGCGCCCCACACCCAAACCCACGCCTCTCCGCTCGGTGCCCAAGCGCCCACTGGGTGCTTGCGTCATCAGTTCCTGTTTTAACTGCCTTTCCAAGGGCCTAGGGCCTGCGGGATCCCAAAGGCTGGGTGTGTGTGGGGGGGAGGGGGTGTCCAGGGCCTTTAAAGTAATCCCAAGGAGTCCCGCCTAACACACTGGGGAGCCATACTGCTCTCGACTACTGGGAAATACTTCCTGAACCCCCACGCCCCTGCCCAGTCTGTGAGTCCCAGGTGTCCTCCCGTCCCCAGGCTCCGAGCGGCTAGCTCTCAGCGCCTAGCTCCCAAGAGCACAGCGGGATTCGGAAGCCTGAACTGCGCCGGGAAAAAAAGTCCCAAGAAAGCATCCAGGGCAATTACAAAGCTGGAAGGGAAGGAAGGGACCCAGAGTGTCCCAGAAGGCGTCTCTGCACGCGCTTTTGTGCAGACCCTTAGACACCCAGTCTCCAAGAGACGGTCAAATATTTAACTTTGACTTTCAGGTGGATGGTGAGGAAGGTACAGGACTCTTCTGCAGACCCAGCGTGGCCCAGGGCGGTATGGGATCGCCCGCCCACATGCCCACAGGCCGGACGTCTCGCGTGGGGAAACTCAGGGGCGGCTGAGTGGCGGCTGGAGCTGGGTGAGCCGCCGCGGATCCCGGCTCTGCCCGGACTCTCGCAACATCCCTCGGGTCTCTCGTCTACGAAGGGGGAGCTGGAAGCATCCCGAAGGCTCAAAAACCCAGGGTCAGAGATAGCTTTGTCCTTCCCCAACGTTTCCACTTTGTCCCTGGAGTTGCCCTGTCTGCGCTCCGGCGACCCCCGAACCCCGGTGTCCTCCCGGCCCTCCCTCCCCAGGGTTCCACCGACGACGACACCTCTCCCCGTGGGCAAAACTCGCAGGCCCGGCTCCCTGCGAAGAGACAGCCTCCCAAGGAACTCCTAATACCATCCATACAGCTTTAATGCGCTTATAATTCGATAAGTGATTTCAATTTGAAATTGTTAGTAACTAATTTTATGGGTAATTTTTCCACATCAAATATTTAAGCATCAGATTAAGGGCGCCAGTTCCGACGCAGGATCATAAGGGGTTTCTCTCCCCTCCCCATCTCCCCCCCCACACAACCCCACCCCATTTGTGCTGCGCCTCCCTCCGGTCTCCTACAGCGGCGTTTTTCCAAATCCCCAAAAGGTGGCAGTCGAAGCCGACTTTCCTCTTTTTCCTGCAGCTCTAAAGAGAAAGGACGGGGGAGGGGGGCCGGAGAGGAAGAGGGGGGCTGCGGGGGAGGGGTGGGGCGCGAGGAGAGGGCCCGGAGGGACTGGACGGTGCCCAGACTTTGCAAGCCGAGCCTCTAACACGTCTCCACACCGCACCAGGGCTAGAGAGCGGCGGCGAATTTCCCGGATCCCGGTCCGGGCCACCGCAGCTCGCCTGGCCGCCCCGGGGTCGGGGTGCGGGCAGGCTCGGAGCATCGGCACTCCACCCTCAGCCTCGTACAAAAGAGGGAGACGCGGAGAGGGGCTTCTTCCCATCTCTTTGTGGTTTTAGTACCGTCCGCACTAAACTTGGCTCTCCGAGAACTGCATAATGGGGGCGGGACAGGGGGGTGCGAAAACGGGGAGAGACAGACCGGGGAGGGCGGAGGGGAAACCGGGGGGCGCAGCGGATGAATTGCAGACCAGTTGCCAAACTTTTTCCCCCTGCTGCCGAGGCTGCGGCTGCCGGTGCTGCACCCTTTGCTTTGAATGTGTGTAACTAGGAAACAGCAAGCCGCCTGAGAAGACGGAATTTCCAACGTGTAAAATGTTCTTAACGGAACCATTGAGCGAGTGCAATAAGGCGTGAGGGGGAACTAATCTTCCCATTTAAATGTTTGTGGCAATTTTATCTAAATGAATTTTAATGCTAAACGAGGGTAATTCCCCATTTGTAGCGCGTTTGCGTCTTTCCTGTGCTTCTAAAGCAGTCGAACATCGTGCAATGAACAATAACAATAAAAATACTGCCAAGGCATATTATTCATTTTGAATGTGTTATAATTACATTTGATTAAATATGATCGGGTAACATTTTTTAATTTTTTTTGGAAAAAAAATACTTAAATCATACTACAGTCTCATTCAGCCAACGGGCTCCCCCCCCCCCAAAAAAAAAAAAAAAGCCTGTACAATTGTGTGCCCTGTTTAGGGGAGGGCGTTTTGTTTTTATCCTTTAAGAAACATCAAAAACACTCTCCACACCTCTATTATTTCCCTCCTTCCGATAAGTGTCGTCAATAACCTCAAAGCTGGCTCTGAAATTTACAAGAGGAAAAGATAAAACAGCATTATGCGGGTGGGTGTCAGGGGCAAAAAGAGCAAGACCTGAAGAGTGAGGCTTGCACAACCCTTACACCAAGAGGGGAACCCACCACACAAAAGCTTGTTTTATTTTTTTTCTAATTCTTGGACATAAATGATCTGATCCTGATTCTTTTTTTTTTTTTTTATCTCTGCATTCCCCAGTCCCCTTTGCTTGCACTCACTCTTCTCCGTCCCTAAAGCCCCCCCTTTCCTCTCCTCTGTCCTCTCCTTCCCCTTCTCGCCCCCCCCCCCCCGCTCTCCCTCCCCCCCCCCCCCGCCCGCCCCCCCCCCCCCCCCCCCCCACCGCTCTCCCTCCCCCACCCCCCACCCCTACCTCCACCCCCCTCACCCCAACTAGGCAAAAGCCTCCTGAAGAAGAAAGGCTGACTCACGGAGCTTGTACTGTGGAGGCAGAAGTAAAAGGACTGTTAGTTTATAAAGTTTATTATTAATTTTAAAAGTAAATAAATGGTTGTTAACTGCCACTAATCACCCATCCAAGAAAACTCTTTCACTAACATGGACTACTTGTGCAGTCTTAGAACTGTCTCGGGGGCCAAAACAGAAAAGTTAAACGGTCCCACCTTTGGGGTAGGGGCGAGGTGGGTGGCAGCCTGGAGCAGGCTGCACGCAGTAAGTTAGGCCTTTCTCTCCTGCGCATCCACGTGTTCAGAAGCAAGACCCTTCAGACAAAAGGTGAGAGTGCAAGCCAGAGCTGTGGCGGCTCCAGCAGGTGAGGCAGTGATGCACGTGTCACCTAGCAGGGCCAACCCACAGCTGGCTTCTCTTTCCAACTAGAAAACAGGATTGCTGTGGGCGGTTTGTGACATGAGGGCCTGAATGTCAAACTGGGGTTTAAGGCTTCTGACCCATCCTTTGTTCCCAAAGCAACCAAAGGCTTATTTAAAAAAATAATAATAAATCTGCCTTAATTAAAATATTTGTGTATTTCCCTTAGCTTTGTAAAGCACTTTTTAGAGCAGAGATTTTATTTAAGTGGAATTATAAGCTATTGCAGCTTAAACATGTTATTTTGAACCATTTAGCTGGCTGCCATGCAGAAATTCTGTACAGCTGTTCTGGAAAATTGGTTAATAACCAGTTTTATCCAATGAGAACATAGAGCATATTTATAAAAATTAGATTTTGAAGTCTGGTCTCTTCAATTTTATATAGTTAATTTCTTAATAAACATGTACTGCTTGTCCTAGATAATATCCTTGGTGAAAGGCCGACTGTAATCTTTAGCTTTGCCACTGTATGCAAGCATAATTTCACTGATAGTGTACATGAATGATACTGTTGAATGTAGTCCGGGTTACAGCTAGTTTAGTGGCTTAACCCTTAATTTTGTTGGTATTACCAGTTCATTAAGTCATCTTAAACTAGTGGTTATTGTTAAATAATTTACTCCATGGTTACAATTTTCAAACACATATGGCTCAGGGAGCTACTTGTTATATTTACTATACTAAGCAGTAACAATTGGGGGAACACATTTTTTAAGCAGTAAAGTCAGAATGACAAAAAATAATCTTGTTTTTATTCGGGAGTCTGATTTCATTACTGCACTCAACGACTGCAATGGACTTGGAGTTCTCATATGAATTCAAACTCCATCCAAATGCTAAGATTCAGTGTGCCATGATTGTTATTAATAATTAGCTCTTTGTTTTCTTGCTAGAAAAAGGCTATTGACAAGCACTTGTTTATCCACAACAAAAAGTATAATTAGCTTATCCCACTTGGTAAACCTTGTATGCATGCCAACTCATACCAAACTGCTACTTTTACAAAAAAAAAATTGCAATAATACAGTTCATTTTTCCAGTCCTTTTTGCACAAAATTTATTTACAATGTCTACATAAATGCTCCAAGGTGGGACTATGGAAATACACACATGACCAATGCTTTGCTGAGAAATAAAGTCAACATATTAAAAATAAATCTTCAGTCTATGTTTCTGAGCTGCATAAAACAGGAAGTGATGTATAAGGTGATGGTTGTTGTCGCATGGGGACAATGACGCTGGATGTGACAATTAGGCTTCTAAACACACGGCCTTTTGGTTTCCATGCCTCCTCCTACCAGTCTCCTGAAGACACTGCCTGCAACAGCTGATTAATCATTGTTGATGACTGCAGTTTTTCCCATCCTTCCCGATTTACATCTGTTCAGGCCAATTCAAATATGGTGAGTAAATGAATTAGACATGCAAATTCAAGCCCCAGGCTAGAGAGAGGGAGAGAGAGGAAGAGAGAGAGAAAGAGAGAGCGCACATGGCTGAAATCCTAGGCGAGAAGAAAGATTCTTCTGCCTGATAGTTATTTTAATGCTCTAAAAATCCTGCAAATCAGACCTTCCTGTCCCTTGCAGGATAACTGTAAGGCTTTTTAATGTAAGGAGGCTTCTGGAGGAAGTGAAGAGCTATGGAAACAACACACATAGTGTGGAAAAATTTCACATTTTTTTTAAAAAATCTATAAGAAACAACGTAATATGGATAACAGTATAATAGCATTTACAATATTTCACTCTTTGTTCTTTTAATGTCTTATATAGTTATTTTGCATGTCCCCCAAATTGACTTCAGTTGGTTTTCCTGCATTTTAAGAGTCCCTATGAAGAATTAGGGATGCTCCTTGGTCCAAGGTAGATGTCAAGAATGGAACTCCATAGTCATTGCAGAAAAAAAACATGATTTGAAATCAGTCACCATTGCAGACAATGCATATTCCCTTAAGCTACTGAGCATGAATGTCCATGACTTGTCCACTCATTGTCGGGTCTCCTGTATTAAGAACCGAGGGGCTTGATGCTGACATTGGCATTCCAGGGTGGGGCGGTCCTCCATGCATCATCACTGTTGGGTGGTGAGGGTGTCCAGGAATGTACGTATGCATGGGGGGCCCATGACGCAGCTGAGCAGGATGGGGGGGCATCTGGGGTTGGGCATAACTTGGCTGTCCCATACTCATACCCACTGGACCACCCCGGGCTACATACTCCCCTGGCATACTTTGCAGCCCTGTAGAAATTCAAAAGAAAGAAACAAAAAGAAAATATTATGGAAAAGCAACAGTGTGGTTCTAACTGTGGCAATTCTATGAAAGCCAGGGAACATTGTGACCAAGGGAACGGGGCCTTGAGAAGCATTATTTTGATTCATGTACAAGAAAATAAAATGAGATGTCAGCCAGGATATCTGAGCTTGCCACTATTCCCCTTGCATTGCCATCATTATCAGTCTTTCTACCAAGTCTAATTTAAAAAAAAAAAAAAAAAGTGTTGTGTTCTGATCTAAAGAAGCATTTTTGCTCCCTGAAATATGTTGTATCAAGAGCATGCATGCTGCTTTGGTCACTGAACATTTCACATGAAGCAGAACTAGGCAAGCTTACTAACGGTGATTACTTGGCAAATCCTGTACCTTTGGGGGAAAAAAATCAAAACAGTTATCAATAAATTCCTTCCACATGGCCTCTTAGAGCTGGAGGAAAAGAAAAGCTTAACAGAACCCTGTCTACCTTACAATGATTTTGAGAACAATAAGAAAAATTGGACCTAAAACAATACCCCTCTTGCTTTGAGGGGGCCTCTTGTCTTCTGCATGGATTGCTCTAGTTGATGGAAACTGACGGCTGTATTGTTTCTGAGAGCCATAAGCTCCATCATCATCAAGGGTGAAAGGCATAACGCCACTGCTAAGTATGTTCAATTGGCTTTAGTTCTAAGTAATAGCGCACTGTGAATGCTAGGAACACCTTCGAATAAGGTCTCCAGGCTCTGGCAATGAATGGCTGCTTAATCTAGCCTAAAGGAACATTTTTGAACTAATGAAAATTGCTTATAAAATATACTGTACCCACAGCTCTTTAATCAAAAAAGATGATAATATTTTTTGTAATAACCTATTAATTTAATTGGTCACGAAGCATAAAATACATCATTTAAATTTAATTGACCCAGAAACTAAGAAACAATATTTAAATTAACTAAGCTAGAGAATTCCATGGTGAGGTAATAAGACTGTTGATTTCCAAGCTCAATGGAATGCTTTCAGAGTGAATGGTTAAACTTATACTGGACTCCCACCCAGAGAAGAAGACCAGCATGTGTTAGCCTTGGCCTCAGCAAGAATTTTAAATAGTGTGTTAATATAATCAGGGGCACATCCAATCTGAGACCGTGGCTTTTAATCTCAAAAAGGAAAGCTAGAGAGATGCTCTTAGGGGTGATTTGGGGAATGAACTAGGGCTTTGGAGTTCAAAACAGTTTCACTTGTTTGAACTCAAATTTCTGGGTGTCTTTTTAGGAGAGAAAATGTCAGAGTGAGAATCTGGGACAGTTTTCCTAGGCTTACTTCACTAGGCCTGCCACTGAAGATTGCATTAATGATCTCTATTTTTGTATACTGAATAAGTCAAATCCATTTGTCACACTGCAAGTGATGGCATACTTAATTTGGATATAGTCAATTAGCCTGGGCTAAGCCCTGAAGCCTGCTGTGCACACCTCTATTTTGTATTCTCCCTTTTTCCATTGCCACACGTAATCCCATTATGATGGACAGACAAAGGAACAAACTAAGGGGAAAAAAAATCAAAGTTTAGTTGACTGAAGCTCAAAATATGCCTTTACTTACCCTAAGTAAAGCTGTGTTTATTTTACCTAAAAGAAGTTCTCTGTTTGGCTTTTGGTGTCTTGCAGGTTAGTGTAGAAATGTAACTCATGCATCAACTGCGGTTAGACAGATTTATGGCACTTTGGGGACATGCTCTTTCCTCTCCTTGCACTGCTGCAGACTGCTTACATTTTGCAAATCAGTCTGTTGCTATGACAACCCACTCCCCCACCTCCTGACTGTTTCTTGTTTTGTCATGTGGTCAGTACTGTACAATAGCAACACACAGGATGAATGTATATCATACACAGACAGCATTTATAAGCTTCAAACCTTGATCAACACCAATGAGAAAATGAAAGAAGCAAGAAATAAGAATTTAATGGAAAAGAATGAACAAGCATGAAGCTATGGGCAAGGAGAACATGAGGAAATGCAAGAGGAAAATTATCCCTAGGACAGAGTGAAAACAAAGACCCCATTTGTACTTACTTCCCCCTCGCTTTCGATTGGTTAACTAGGTGAAGGTTACATGTAGTGCCACTGCCCCTCCATGCCCATATTCATGCCCATTCCACTCATAGGTCCTAGAAGGGAGATAAAATCCAAGAAGAGGCCGGAAAATGAGCAAAGTCAACAGATAGTGCCAAAAGACCCTTTAACAAAACAGATTCTAGATGGTGGAGCGGCAGTGAGATTTCGAGTACATGAAGGTCCTGGCTTCCCCTTTTCAGTATCTCAGATGCACAGATGGTAGGCAAGGCAAGGCAGGCAGCTTGAGAGAGCAGAGCATGGGGCCCTTCACCTGCACTGGCTGGGGCTGGGGGAGGACGACCCCTACATAGCTTATGTAAGCATAAAAAACTACCACAAAGAAAAAAAGTCTTACCTGGTGCTCTGATCCCCATGTGCTGCTGACCGTCCATTACAAAACCTCCCATTGGCTGTCCATCAGGGTTATAAGGTGTCCCTTGGCTGACTACAAAAGTACACAGCACAGCTTCTTAATAACAGAAGGGGAGAGGGGAGGAGAAGAAGAGAGGGGAGGAGACTGGAGGAGACACAGGGAACATACTAAGCAGATAACATTTTTAAACCAACGTTAATTATTTCTCTCAGACCAGTCCTTCAAGTGACTTCAAGTGCTAGTTTCAAGGAACAAGCTAAGACAAAACCCATGCTCGGGGTTTTGTCTGGCACTTCCATAATGGGCATTGAAAGACAAAAAAAGTTACTGAAATATGACTGACTGGCAATTGACCCAGTGTGGTGCTAGGTTTTCAATAGAGCTGAGAGATGAGCGATTTTCCAGAACGACAGTTCAAACCTGCATCACTCCTGGTGAATTTGTTTGCTGCCTTTACTACCATGTTATAAGACAAAACAAAGCCTAGGACTCATGACCAAAAAACAAAACAAAATAAAACAAAGCTGTTATTTCTTTAAAACTGTGAACACCAAAAGACAGATACTAACGAGCTAGGTCACGAGAATAAGAGCTATGTATTTATACCACTGACTGAATCCCATGTTTTAACTGTACATGAAAAGCTGTTTCAGAAGTAAGCTGCCTTGAGTTATTAAAGCACACAAAAGCTCTACCTCACTGAATGTCTTTGAACTTTACTGAGTCCCACAAGTGATCCTGACCCCTTTGCCCTTTTGACAGGTAATAAAGTTTACAGCAGTTCCACACCAAGCCATGCACCAGGGGAGTGGTCAGAGTAGCAGAAAGCTGGGTAGGCAAACTCAGGGAAAAAATAATAACATTAATATATCAAATGTTTACAAAGAAGACTATAACTGAGCACATGATTTAGGAGTTACTTTTCTCCATTGGCTTTTTATTTCCTCCTTTAATCAAATGTTTTATAACGATGTTAAATTGATTAGTGTTGTTACAAAACCAAACCGGTTTAATTCCCACTGCCAGCCACTCCTAGTACTCACTCCCAGTTCATTTACCAGGTGGCAGCCCTCCTGGTGAATGGCTTGAGGATGGTTTTCGCTTGCCTGACTTGAATACAGTCACTAGAGGGGACTTGCCTGCTCGGTTGGACTGGTCTATCATGGGCTGCACTATTCTTCTCCGGGCATTAATAAACCTGAAACCAACAAAGCAAAGCACACCGTCATTATTGCATAAAAACATAGACAGAAGGTAGAGGAAAAGGAAGAGATGAATCACAGTAAGAAGACCCAGGTCTTGGCAAGCTGCGTCTGCCTCCTTTCTCTCCCTCCCAGACAGCTTCACATGCTGCAAAACCTATAACCCCGTGACCTCTGAGTACAAGGCTTGGGTTTCTGAGTTGATTTATGTTTGCCTGTTTTACCACAGTTGGACACTTCCATTTCATCTTTTCATGGGGGAATTAGCAGAGTTTTGGAGAAACAATGATGGGCACCACTCTTTTCAATGGGCAGGGTGGGAGTTGATAGGGAGAGAGAGAGAAGCCCTGAGCACATCTGCTACCTCCCAATTACTGACATTTCAATCTGACACTCTCTGACTTCTTTTTCACGATTTGTTTTATCCAAACCTCCCCTACCTTTTGCAAACTTAGTTTCATCTTTATGTCCACCACTAAGATAACGAACAGAGCTGGCAGCGCACCATCAATTGAAAGAATGTCTGGAGTTTATCACTATTAACTCACACTTCTGGGGACTTTAAAGAAATGCATTCCTCGGAGAGATTTCTTGGAGTGACTTTTTTTTTCTTTTGCTGCAAAATCCGAAGTCAAGACAAGGTCACATCTACACAGCCACTGAGTTTATAATTTTACTTTCTTCTGCCACTACTGGAAATTTATAAACATCTTATTAAGACATATAAGTCACTCTAAATTTATTTAAAAGATTGTTTGGTTCAAGCCTTTAAATAGCTCCTCCAAAAATGTCAAGTTATGAAATATATATATATATATATATATATATATATATATATATATATATATA